CCTTTTGTTGTCGTATTGCTCTAGCTAGAACTTCAAGTACAATATTGAAAAGGTATGGAGAGAGTGGACAGCCTTGTCTTGTTCCTGATTTTAGCGGAATCACATTGAGTTTCTGTCCATTTAGTTTGATGTTGGCTGTTGGTTTGCTGTATATACCTTTTATTGTGTTTAGGTATGTTCCTGTTATCCCTGATCTCTCCAAGACCTTTATCATGAAGGGGTGTTGGATTCTGTCAAAGTCTTTTTCTGCATCTAGTGAGATGATCATGTGATTTTTGTTTCTTAGCTTGTTTATATGGTGGATTACATTGATGGATTTTCATATGTTGAACCATCCCTGCATGCCTGGGATGAAACCTACTTGATCGTGGTGAATGATGTTTTGATGTGTTCTTGGATCTAATTTGCCAGTATTTTATTGAGTATTTTTGCATCAGTGTTCATGAGGGATATTGGTCTGAAGTTCTCTTTCTTAGTTGTGTCTTTGTGTGGCTTGGGTATCAATGTTATTGAAGCCTCGAAAAAAGAGATTGGCAAAGACCCTTCTGCTTCTATTGCATGTAATACTTTGAGAAGAATTGGTATAAGCTGTTCTTTGAATTTCTGGTAGAATTCTGCACTGAGGCCATCTAGACCTGGGCTTTTTTGTTGGGAGACTATTGATGTCTGCTTCTGTTTCCATAGGGTTATAGGTCTATTTAAATTGCTCATCTGTTCTTGATTTAAATTTGGCAAGTGATAGCTATCCAGAAGGGCTCTGCACTGATGACCTTATCACCTGCCCAACCTCTACCTCCAAATCCTTCACATTAAGGGTTACTTTTCAGTATGCGTTTTTAGAGGTCGCATGGACATCCTGTCTATGGAAAAGGAGTTGAAGAGGAAGAAGCAGAGATGTGAAGGCAGGGGCAGACTCATCCTTGAGTATCTCTGGAGGATTACTTCCAAGAAGCCCTATGGTGTCCAAATCACTTGGCGATCAAGGCTCTTATATCCAGAAAATTGTTCGTTTCTTTTAAATTTTCAAATTTTGTGGAGTACAGGTCTTCAAAATATGATCTGATAATTCTCTGGATTTCTTCAGTGTCTGTTGTTATGTCCCCCTTTTCGTTTCTGATTTTGTTAATTTGCATGTCCATACCCTGCGGTTTGGTAAGTTTGGATAAAGGTTTGTCTATCTTGTTGATTTTCTCTAAGAACCAACTCTTTGTTACATTGATTCTTTGTATCGTTTTCCTAGTTTCCACTTTACTGATTTCAGCCCTCAGTTTGATTAATTCCTGGTGTCAACTCCTCCTGGGTGAGATTGCTTGTTTGTGTTCTAGAGCTTTCAGCTATGCTGTTAATTCTCTAGTGTAACTTTTCTCCAGTTTCTTAATGTGGGCACTTATTCCATTTCTTGCATTTTTGGTTTGTTTTTTCTTCCATTTCTTGCATTTTTTGGTTTGCTTTTTCTTCCATTTCTTTGAGGGATTTTCCTATATCCTCTTTGAGGGCCTCTATCATTTTCATGAATTTATTTTTAAAGTCATTCTTTTCTGCTACATTTGCATTGGAATGTTGGAGTCTTGCTGGTGTGGAGTCTCTAGAATCTGGCCATCGATGTCATATTTGTTTTTCTGTTGCTGAGTGTGTTTTTGTATTTTCTCCTTTCCATCCTTTCTTCTAGTGTGTGCAGAATAACCCTTTTATTGGCCTGGTGGTTAGGGGACCAGTGTTCCCTTTCAGTGGTTGCAAGCAAGTCCAATACTCTCGTAGTTCTCCTCTTCCTGGTCCTATTTCTGATCCCGTTGGTGGAGAACAGGACCGGAAATCTGGGGTGCATAGGCTCCTACCGGGAGGGGAGACTCAGTGGCAGTCTCCAGGCACTGGAGCACGGGCCCAGAAACAGACCACGAATTGTCTGGTCTCGTGGGTGGAGAAGAAGACCAGGAACCTGGGGTGCTTAGGCTCCCGCCAGGAGGGGAAGCTCTGTGGCCGTCCCCAGGCACTGGAAGTGAAATATTTATTTTTTAAAAAGTCAATCATGGTGGAGTGCATTCATTTGTGATTTCTATGCTTGGACAGCAGAGACAGGCAGATTCCTGGAGCTTGCTGAAAATTCAGCCTATTATAGCTAATGGACTTTAGTCCTAGACTAGTGAGGGATTCTGTCTCAAAAATATGAATGATGACTGAGGAATGACACCCAAAGTTGTCTCTTGGCCTCCAAATTAACATTCATACACAGGCACCTGGATTTATTTGAACATGCACATATATGTATGTTCATGCATTCACACACACAAATCCACTACTTACATTCTTTTAAACATATCACTATGCTTGTTGAGATAAATGAACATGTCAAATTTGAATGAAATATCTTTTGTCCATTGTAAAAATAAACTTGAACTATGCTTCTTAAAGTAGGAGTGTCCTTATGATTTCTAGCAGATGTAAGATATAGTGCATTGCTATGAGATGGTATCTGGAATTTTTTCAGCAAAATAGTATTTTTTAGAAGCTGGATGTAATATTCATATTTTTCTTTTCATTTGTTTGTGTGATATGCATTGAGTGTATATGTCCACATATGTGTGTTCACATATATAAGGGTATGCACATGTGTGTGCACCTGTAAGGATATGTAGGTCTGAGGTTGATATTGGGAATCTTCACTGCTTTTCCATGTTATTATTTGAGACAAGGTCTCTCAATCAAACTCTAAACATGCCTATAGGGCTTCTTGCCCTAGCCAATTTTCTTCAGGGACCTTCCACTTCCATTTTCTGAGGTTGAAAATATGTATGTGGGCTTCTATGACCACAAGGAAGTTATATGGGTTCTGGGATAGGAACTTTGGTCATCTAGCAAATGCTTTAACTGCTGAACCATCTCTCTATCCCCATCTGCATGGGTTTTAATGCAGAATCTCTAAATTTCCAGATGACCATAACTGATCCCACTGTACAACTAGAGAAGTTTGTGTTGACATAATGAAGAAAGAACAAAGACTGAAGAACCACAATGCCTGGGCTTATATCATCCTCCATCACTTACCAGTTATGGAACTCTGGTCACTTATTTAGGCTTCTGTATCGTGATTTCTTCATCTGTAAAACAAAGATAAGACTAACAATATTCCATTGATTGACAATGGAACAAAAATGTGTAGTTAAATACAGAAAGTCCCTAATTTGCAGTGGCATGACTTAATATTTTTTAACTTTATGATGGTATGAGAGCAATATCCACTCCATAAAACACTTTAAATTTTGAGTTTAAAAAAGCGTGTGTGTGTGTTACTCATGTTTGTACAAGTGTATGCCTTGTTTATATGCACATTTGTGTGAGGGCAGAGTTTGATGGCACATGTATTTATCTCTCACTCTTTACATTATTTTTGAGATAAGGCCTCTCTTACAGAACCCAAGGCTTGACATTTCATCTAGACCAACCAGCCAGCAAGCTCTAGGTCTTTCTGTTTCCATACCTCACCCCTAGCACTGGAATTGTACACACATCACCACAATCAGCTTTTATATAGTTACTGGGGATGCAAACTCAGGTCCTTGTATTTATACTGTTGTCGCCAGAGTCAGGACTCCCAAAGACCACCAAGAGACCAGATTCAATATAAAAGCAAAGAGACTTTTTAAAAAATTATTCCATCATGTTGGGGATGACCATGTTATACAAAGGCAAGATGACTACAACCCCAAGAAGGAGGTGGGGGCATCTTTTAAGCCTTACTGAGGGGAGTGTCTAAGGAAGTTGGGTCATTTTAGATACGATTGGCTTAAGCAAGTAGCAATCATATTAGTACATTGTAATTGGCTGGGGCTAGTCAGGGACTGGTCAAGGCTATAGTTTTCCATTTTGGGGCAGGCCTGGACAAGTCCCAGGCCCTGTCCTTGAGCTGCTGTGGAGGCTGGCTCAGGCCTGGCCTGGCCTAGTACTGCATGTACCAGGCCTCCTCTTTGCTATTGAGGATGTTGGAGACTGATTGTCCCTTATTTATGGCTTGTCCTCAGAAACAGCTTGTTCAGTCTCAGAAAACTGAAATTGAGGCCTGACCTCTGAGAGAAGACTGAGGAGCCTGTTATGGCATCTGCTTGGTCCTTTCAGTACAGAAGGTACTTTGCCTATGAAACATCCAATTTTGAATTTTGGTCTTTTCCCAGCACAACAATTTGGAGTGTGATGCCCTATTGTAGTGCTGAATAGCAGAAGCTAGCTATGTAGATCCAAGTTAGTCAGAGAATTATGTGGTAAAATGACAGTTCAGTGTGTGGTTTTGCTAACCTTTCAAGATCCTACAGTTTTGTGTGTTCACATTCCATCGTGTATACAGAATGTCCATCTTTGTCTGTGAGTAACATTTCCAACACTTTATTACAAGGTATGTTTTGTGTTAGGTGATGCTGCTCAACTGTAAGCTGATTTGTATGTTCTTAGCATGTTTTAAGAGACACAGGCTAAGCTTTGAGGTTCAGTAGGTAGGTGTATTTAGTAGTAAGTCTAGGAAGATGACTCAGTTGGTGCATGGACCAGTTGTATGTCAACATGGCACAATCTAGAGTCCTTGGGAAGAGAGAAACTCAAGTGAGAAAACACCCTGACCATATTGGCCTGTGGGTACTTTCTTAACTGATGATTGATGTGATAGAGCCCAGCTCACTGTAGGCAGTGCCGTCCTGGACAGGTAGTCCTAGGTTGTATAAGAAAACAAGTCTGAGCAAGCCAGGAGGAGCAAGACATAAGTTGCATTCTTTCATGGTTTCTGCTTCAGTTCCTGCTTTCAGGTTCCAGACTTGAGTTCCTGCACTGACTTCACTGGATGATGGATTACAAGTTGTGAGAGTAAATAAACCCTTTACCCTCCTAGTTTGTTTTACCCATGGTGATTTATCATAGCAATAGAAAGCCTAACTGAGACAGAAATTGTTACCAGGTCCCCGAGTATTGTTGTAACAGACCCGACTGTGTGCTTTGGGGATTATTAGGGTGGTATTTTGAGACTGGGCTGGGAAAGTTGTTGAGTGTTCAGAGCTTAAAGAGCTCAGAGCTGTTGTGGGAACTCAGAAGATAAACTTGGGATCAGTGAAGGCGGTGGGGATCTGGTTTCTGAAGCATCAAAGCCCCTTAAAAACTCCAACAGGGTGATTTATGTGGTATTCTGAATTAGAAATCGGTGGTTCTGGTCAGTTGTGGCTGGAGAATAAACTGTGATTAGCAAGAGACCAGCTCTACTGGAGGGAGACTTTTGCTTTGCTAGGACACGTAATACTGGCTAGATGGAGTTGAGAAATTAGTGGTGATCAAGAAAAGACCAACATCACTGAGGATTGTAAATTTGGTAGAATTTACTCAGAGTGAGAACACAGAACCTGTGGTCCAGAGGAATGGAGACTGAGTCTCAGGCTGGCATCTGAACTTGGTAAGATGTAAGGGTTTCCTGGGTGGTGCTGACATAAAGGTCTCAGGGAAGACAGCCGAGTCTTGGCACTGTATGAGGCCATCGGTGAGGGTGCAGCCTCAGTTTTAGTAAGAATCCCATGACTAAAGAGGTCATGGACAGAAGTTAAAGCTTGGCACGGTGTGGCAGGGTCAGAGCTCCTGAAGAGAGCCCAGGAGAGGCTACTGGTGAAAGTGCAGCCAAGTTGAGGCAGGAGACCCTAGCCAGCGTTCTGGCATTGCTGGTACTGTGGGATGACTGCCAAAGACAGCTTCAGACACAGAGTGGAGCTGGCCTAAGCCTGTGAGATAAGCTGTGTGTGCTGTGGATGGCAGAGCCTGAGAAGCGGTGTTTGCTGCCCAGGCCCTTTGGAGCCCAGAGGATAATGAGTGGGTCCCAGATGTCAAGCACTGAACTTTTATAATGCTGAAGTTTGACTTTGCTTTGATTTAATTGTGATTGTACTTTTATTATTATGTCTTGGAATAAGAAATTATTTAATTTCTTTTTTGATTTTATAGGAAACAACAGCTATGAAACCTTACTCATTTCAGATAAACTTTGCAGGCTTAGAGGGAATTTGGATATTTAAAAAAGACTAACCTTTGAAAGTGTTTGAATTTTTAAATGTTGTAGGACCTTAAATGATTAGAATATACTTTATATTGTGATAATATTAACAAAATAAGGAAGACAAATAAGAAAGGAGACAGTTGAATAATGATGTATTTGTGTGTCCGTCAAGTTGACAAGGGGTCACTTTTTGATGCTTGACACAAACTAGAGTCATTTGGAAAGAGGAGACCTCAACTGAGAAAACTGCCTTACCAGACTGGCTTGAGTGGCATTTTCTTGATTGATGATTGACGTGGGAGGGCCCAGTTCACTGTGAGTGGTGCCATCTCTGGACAGGTAGTTCTGGATTGTATAAGAAAATAGACTCAACAAGTCAGGGGAAGCAAGAGAGTAAGCATCTTTCCTCCATGGCTTCTGCTTCAGTTCTGATTTCCAGGTTCCTTCCTTGAGTCTGTGCCCTAACTTGCTTGGATGATGGTCTGCAAGCTGTAGGATGAAATCAGCCCCCTTCTCTTCAAGTTTCTTTTAGCTGTGGTGTTTTATCACAGCATCAGAAAGCCTAGCTGTGCAAACATGATGATCATTACTAAGACAGTAGGTAAGTGTACTAGCTGTGTAAGAATGAAGACCCTAACTAAGACAGTGGGTAAGTGTACTAGCTGTGCAGGCATGCCGACCTGAGTTTAAGCTCCTAGAACCTATGTAAAAAGCCAGGGGTGGCCTTGCATTCCTGTAACAGGAGGACCATGGGAATGGGAACAGGGACAGTAGATTTCTGGGGCTTGCTGACTGCCAGCCTAGCTCCAGATTCAGTGACATAACTTGTCTTAAGGGAATAAGATTGACAATGACAATGCAAGGCATCTCTGACATCCTCCTTCGGCCTCCACACGGATATGCAGGGATGTGTATACACACACACACACACACACCTACACATACACTGCATGCAGAGGAAGTCAAGGGTGGAGGGAGATAATATAATTTTCTTTGCATTACTGAGAACTGAAGCCCAAATCCTTGCACACAGTAGACAAACACTTTGCTACTGAGTTACATCCCCAGCTCTTTAAGTGCATTTTTGGCTCTTTGACTTACATACAGTATTTTCAATTCGCAGTGGTATGACTGAACATATAATATTTAAAGTAGCACCTGATATATAGAAAGTATGTTTGTGTTTATCAAGTAAACAAAAGTTGAGAACTATGAAGGTGCCTCTAAGAAAACTGTTAATTTGATGCTCAGCCATGGGGAACTGGGAGCAGTGTCTGGGAGTGGCAGATCCTGATGGAAGGATTACTCATGCAGTGGGCAATGGCCCACTCCTCCAGAGAATTCTCAGGTTGCATAGTTTTTAGTGGTCTAGACTAAGGCTGAGAAAGTCTTCCTGCAAAGAGATAAATAGTATTTTAGAACTATTGGGCCATTTTTATGAGAATTATTCAACACTGCCATTGGAAACACCAACACACAGGACAGCATCTCAATTAAATGATCTGTTTGGGCAGGGCTGGGACCATAATCTATAGCTCACTGACACTTGTCCTAGATTATGTTGGGCTGAGAAAGTAGCCTGGAAATTAGGTGGTTGTTGAGGGATATTAAGAGCAACAGGAAGCCAAAGGGAGGACAATGAGGTAGCCCTGCTAAAATGTCATGTTGTGTGTTCCTGGGGTGAACTCATCTGGACTGTGGACAAGTCCTCTGTTAGGTGGCAGGGTCATGGGAAGTTTCGTATCTGCAGAGACATTGAGAGGCCACATTAGTAGTGGCAATACACTAGCCATCTATGCTACTGCCGTGCATTTCATTAGTACGTTGCAAGTTATTTGAAAATAAAGCAGAGGCTTTTATTTTCCCTCAGATCAGCTCTAAACCCTTGGAACAATGTTGTCTATTCTGTGGGCGCCCAGTGAGCTCTGGCTAGCTGTCTTTATTTCTTCACCTGCCATGGGCTCTCCCTGGACCCATATGGAAATGTGAAAGTTCATAAGGGACTAACTCAATGAGACCCATCCAGGGGAAGTTCAGACCCCAAGGGAAGTGATTACACACTGATGGAATTTTTGCACATGGGATGGAAAGATGATCTTTGCCTCTTGGCTGTGTCACTGTAATAAGTGGGAGACTGATTATTTCTAAGACTGCAGCCCTTTCCAGCACTGATAAGAATGGAACGCAGGCTACCATGGAGATTCAGGTCACTAATTAGTCCCAGAAGCCTCTATGCCTCGAGTCGTTGTTATATTAATTATGCATCAAATTAGAATGTTTGCAAAGGCAGAAGGCCAACTGTACAGCAGAGCCCAGTGACAACATGGAGAGATCAAGGAGTGTCCCGCCCAGTCACTGCAGTGACCAGCAGATGAAGCCATGTCCTGCCTGAACATGCCATGACCCAGCCTGATCTCTGGTTCAGCTGCTAGGAACCTCTTGCCAGAGAGCCTGTTATCAGCACAGAGTGGATAGAAGAGTGGAAGGAAGACACGGATGGTGTCCCTTCCATCCCTCAATCCAGGTTCTGCTGCAGTGGCACCAGCTCCGGAAAGATACAAAACAATCCTTCAAGTCTTTATTGCAAATGGAATATGCTTCCAGATGCTTACTGTCATGGAGACAGTTTGTCTGGTCTGTCATCCAGCATTCAGTTTTTAGAGTTGGGTGAACACAATGAATCCTACCTCCTCCTCTTCCTTCATCTTGTTTTCTTTCTTGTGTTCTTTGTGAGCATGAAATCAAAATATGCTTGGTTCTTGGTTGTAAAATAAACAGATGATAAACAGCGTCTCTGTGACTTTTAGGTTATAGTTCCACCGAGGGTTTGGGTTGAAGCCATAAACCATGGGAAGTGAAGCATGACCCACAAATGGCCTTCAAGATGGAATTACAACCCCATAATTCAGAGTAGACCTTTAAAAAATCATCTTTCAAGCTAGCTGTAATTGAGTGACAGGGGCCAACTGTGACATCTTTTGATCAGCTCATCGGTACAAAAGTGATTTCTGATTTCTGTATTAATCTGATGTGTTGTTGTGTGCATGAGCACCCAGCCTGATCAGTAAAAGGCGTCTATGGAGACCATGCCACAGTGCCCCAAACAGAATGAAAGGACAGAACTCTGGGTTTCCCAGTAAGACTGTCTTTAGCACAGGAGAACCTAAATGGTCATGAAGCAAGGACTAGGGGGACAGTAATATCTTGCCTTAGTTTTTCTCACTGCTCCGATCTCCTGTTAGCCTGTGATGTTATGTGGTGGCTGGTTTGAGCTTCGTGGTGAGTAACAGACTGCCCCAAGTTTCATCCCTGTTGTATGTCTGGATGTGTTTGTGTGAGGTTTTCCAACCCTGTTCTGCTTGATCTCATAACTCATTAAGGCAAGTTGATCTCATACAGCCCAAGAAGCCTTTTCATGACGTTTTCTTGTATGATAAATATTCACACATTGCAGAGAAAATAAACCAAATCCAACAATTCTGTAGGAGGTGGATGCTTGACGGCAGCTTCTTGTAGTCATAAATTACACCGTCAAAATCCCCTAATGTTTCTCTGTGGTGCTGGTGAAATAACATAAGAGCAAAGGTTGGCAGAATGTAAAACAGTGTGTGTTACAGAATCAAGGGCATGAAGAAAAGAAAAACAGTGCAAAGAACAACCAGACTATCAGTTCAAACTGAGCAAAAGTTAATATTCTTTAAATTTCCATGCATGTGCATATCTACGTATTGGTATCTGCATGTGAGGGCAGGTGCCCACACAGGACAGAAGAGGGTGTCGGGGCCCCTGGAGCTGGAGTTACGGTCAGCTGTGCAAGTGCTGGGAGCTAAACTGGGGTCCTCTTTAAGAGCAATTCATGCTCTTAACCACTGAACCACTGAGCCAGCTCTCTGGCCCAAAGATAACGTTCATCAGATTTGTCCAAGTTTATTTTACCTCTCGCCTTTGTCATCTCTTTTCTTGTTCCTTAAAGAGGAAACACATCATTGACTTGAGGCCATGCTTTCCTAACACAAAATTTGAAGTTATGAGTTTTCTAACACAAAATTTGAAGTTATGTATTTTCTAACACAAAATTTGAAGTTATGAAGTGCTACATAAACTTCAGCCTGTTGTCTTTGCCATGTTACAGTTTTCACTTTTTCTGGTTCAATATATTTTTTCATTTCTCTTGGATTGAGTTTGGGCTCACGTGTTATGGTCACCTTAGAATGTTAGGGGAAATCTTTCTGTTCTTGATGTCCATTTAATTATTTTGTGGTCAAAGAAGCATGCTTTGTTTGTTTTATCATCTTGGTGAACATTGTTGTGTATAGTAAAAAAATCAGCTCTTATGGGATAGAATAGTCTGTAATAATTGATTGGTAGGTTTTATCACTTGTATATCAATTACTGAGGAAGAGAGATTG